TAATAATAATAATGTATTACTATTATTACTTAGGGATGTCCAATATGGACAATATTGGACATCCCTGTATTAATAATGTATTATTGTATTACTATTATTACTTAGGGATGTCCAATATGGACAATATTGGACATCCCTAAGTAGTAATAATAATAATGTATTACTATTATTACTTAGGGATGTCCAATATGGACAATATTGGACATCCCTAAGTAATAATAATAATACATTATTATTATTATTATTACTTAGGGATGTCCAACATGCCACTCACCTGTGTTTCAGATGTCCTGCCCGCCCCGTACATTGACTCATTCTCCATTCCTGAGGAGAGAGGAATCAGTGTTAGCCTGAAGAACACACCCACTGACACAGACACAGACTTGTCCATCTGAAAACCTTCCTACGGACGACCAGATCCTGCTAGGCTCTGGACACAGAACGGCCAAGTCATCTCCTTCTATTTAGGCGAAGGATGGAGTGACTTCAAACGTGACGTTTTTATTCCCAGCACACGCACTTTAAATGACGGTCAATCTGTGCTACGACACATGCTACACACACTGGATCAATAAGACGGACTGAAGAGGAAGGTGAACGATGACTTGGAGCAGTTAAAGTCGCAACAGAAACCCAAACTCAACTGAAGCAAACTTTTAAATGTGAGGTTGTGTGATTGTTTAAGCTCGATGCACTTTAACCAAAAGCGAAGAAATGCTAAATGCTAGTTTGCTATACAACGTGAGAAGCAGGTGCATGCTAATTTCACACCAGTATTGTAAATCTTCTTAAAACGTATGAGCCTATTTTCATGTGTATTTTTATATACTGTATAAGTAATTTATTTTTCAGTTTTGCCAATGCTTTTTCAATTAAGCTTTTCACGTGATATATTCATCCCTTGCATGTCTATGAAAATTCTCAGTCATGCAGCTCATGGTCAAGGTTGAAGAGTTCCATTAGGCAACTGGACGTGACATTTTCTCAAAGAAGACATATTACCTCTCATACAAGAGGCTTCTTCAGGCCTTAGATGAGGGGTGAAACGTCTTCTTTGATAAAAGTTCACATCCAGTTGCCTAACAGAACTCTTAAACCTCTTGCATGTTTCTGTATGGGGGTCGTTGTTTTGTGTGTATTATTTGTGCTATGGATATACAAGTGATTACACTTGTATATGAATACATGTATGTGCTAAATACATACTTACATATATACAATGTATGTGAATACAGTGGACATTTTTTTTAAAATTTGATTTCTGTTAACCTTTTCTCTTTGTGTACTGGGACTTCATCTTTAAAGTAAATAAAAATATTTCTCTGCAACTACTGTGGCAAAATGTGTGATAAAGCTAAATGATCTCATCAATCCGCCAATGCACAGTGCCACTGAGTGTTAACTCAGAGCACGCGCTGTGCCTAGGGACCCACGAAGGGGCCCCATTTCGAATGATATGCGCGTATTAAGTAGATACAGCTCAGCGCTTACTATCGCCATCTTGTGCGAAATCTAATAAATTACAGCCTATGAAGAAGTCTATGTGTAACCGCAACATATGCCGACTAAAGACGTTTACGTTGTAATATAAGTCTGATCCATAATCATTTATCTAATTAATATAACTATATTAACAAAAGACAGCAATAGTAGTAGATAATATTACCTGCTGTGATGGACTTCCACAAGGGGTGGGCTTGAGTTGGTTTCAGTGGATGGGTGGGGCTCCACTTGAAAATCTTGCATAGGACCTCGTTTGGCTAGTGGCAGCCCTGTACAAAAGCATAGATATAGCGTCAGTATTATGTCTTCACAGTTTACATCAAATGCAGAGACAACATAAAATCGTTCCACTCTGGACTTGGAGTCATAAAATAAATGATTATGTTGCATTCAACAGAAATAAACTGCAAGATTGTAGATTAAAAAACAAATCCACCTTTGTTCACTGGACTCCAACTAACAAGAGGTCAAGCTACTACTGGGAAATGAGTGAAGTGAGGTTTGTAAAAGTAAAAACATCAATATGATGGCCTTGGATATCAGTTTAACTCAGTTTAACTTAAGTTTGTAAAACTCAGACAGCATTCATACTAAAAACATCACATAAGTGACATGCTCAATCTATATCTGTATAAACGCAATGCTACAGCAAACTACAGAAATTAACAACGGTTTCAAAAACGTAAATAATAAATCAAAAAAAAATTAACGAATTAATACATTCATTAAGAAAACAACTCCCCAAGTCACTGCCAGTGCACATGATATAGAATAAAAACACTGCTATGAATAAGTGTGTAGCGTAGTTAAGATTCACAAGACCAGTCTGGAATACTAGGACGTGCACAGCATGTAGGCTGCAGAAAAACAGTCAGACTAGCATAAAAAAAAAGAAATAAAATAACAACGGCATCACTTTGTTCGTTATGACACAGAGGTTGCTTATATTTTAAATATAAAAAGTGAGTATTTTTAAGGCTATTATTCTTCAGTTTTCTCTAAAAACATATTGTTCCGTTTGAAAATGTAGGTTAAATTCAATGGATAAATAACCTGGTCGATGACACCCGAGACTGTCTGAAGTTCTACAAGAAGCATTTAATCTGTAGTCATAACACAGCTGCCTGAAGAGCTTTGGTCAGTCTCAAAGTAGTATTTGTTCATGAGTTATTTGCACTGATTAGTGTTGCTTTAAAACTAAAGGTGGAAATGAAAAGATTCAGTCGAACACAAAAACAGCTGAACACACTAGTTCTTCTTTTTCTTTCGGCTTTGTCCCTTTTTCAGGGGTTGCCACAGCAAATCATTGATTTCCATCTCTCCCTGTTCTCTGTATCTTCTACTCTGACTCCAACTACCTGCATGTCCTCCCTCACTGCATCCATATATCTCCTCTTTGGCCTTCCTCTCTTTCTCCTACCTGGTAGCTCCATCTCTAACATTCTTCTACCAATGTATCCACTGTCCCTCCTCTGCACATGTCCAAACCATCTCAATCTGGCTTCTCTAGCTTTTTCTCCAAACCTTCCTGTCTGTGTTGTCCCTCTAATGACCTCATTCCTGACCCTGTCCATTCTTGTCACTCCTAAAGAGAATCTTAGCATCTTTAACTCTGCCACCTCCAGCTCCTCCTCCTGTCTTCTGCCTATTGCTACTGTCTCTAAACCATACATCATGGCTGGTCTCACCACTGTCCTGTAAACCTTTCCCTTCACCTTAGCTGACACTCTTCTGCCACCGATCACTCCTGACACTTTTCTCCAGCTGTTCCATCCTGCCTGTACTCTATTCTTCACCTCTCTTCCACAGTCTCCGCTGCTCTGAACAGTTGATCCTAAGTACCTAAACTCCTGCACCTTCACCACCTCTGCTCCTTGTAGCCTCACTATTTCACTGTTCTGCCTTTCGTTTACACACATGTACTCTGTCTTGCTGCGACTGACCTTCATTCCTCTTCTTTCTAGTGCAAACCTCCACCTCTCTAGGTTCTCTTCTAGCTGCTGCCTACTCTCACTACAGATCACAATGTCATCTGCAAACATCATAGTCCATGGGGACTCCTGTCTGACCTCATCTGTCAATCTGTCCATCACCACAGCAAACAAGAAGGGGCTCAGGGCCGATCCTTGATGTAGTCCCACCTCCACTTTGAAGTCTTCTGTCCTCCCAACAGCGCACCTCACTACTGTTGTACTATTCTCATACATGTCCTGCACCAAACTAACATACTTCTCTGCCACTCCTGACTTCCTCATACAAAACCACAATTCCTCCCTTGGCACTTTGTCATATGCCTTTTCTAGATCTACAAATACACAATGCAGCTCCTTCTGACCTTCCCTGTACTTCTCCATCAACATCCTCAAGGCAAATATTGCATCTGTGGTACTCTTCCTAGGCATGAAACCATACTGTTGTTCACAAATCTCCATATAGCCAAAATATTTCCCAAAATGCTTACAGAAAACACTTAAGTTGTAAAGGTGTAAAGATTTAAGTGAAGTAAGGAGTGAGGATCTAATTAATGCACAATAGTTATAATTCCTTTGACAGTAAGGCCATCACCACTAAGTCAGGACAGTCCACAGACCACCATGCAAAGGAGAACAAATTAGCCAAAAATTTGGAAAAGCTCAAGCTTGGAGTAAGTAGGAGTTGTCACTCAGGTGCCCAACAACCAAAACCTATAGTTCTCAGTTTTAAAAAGTAAGCACAACAGAACATAAACAGTGTTTTAACAGCCCCTGTATAACCAACTCACACTACAACATGACAGGGCTCAAACTGCTCTCAACTTTAGTTACCATTCTCTCTTGCGCGCCCCACGGTCATATAAACATAGTCATTCACAGACCGACATACGCTACTAGCATAACACACAGTAGCCTTCCAGAAAAGTCATTGATTGACACAGCAATATGAGTAAAATGGGTGGACTTACCGATTATGCTGGAATTTCGTAGACTCCAGCAACCTCTGACAGCAACAGCTGGAATAAAAAGAAGAAGAAGAAGATTATTTCCCTTTTGAACCGAATTAGTCCACATTTGACCATTATATGGCCATTATATATATTATATTATTTTTTTAAAGTTTTCTCAGACAGCATTCATACTAAAAACATCACATAAGTGACATGCTCAATATTAATTTGTTTTTTATTTCAAATATTTTAAACATAGTAAAAACATAGTAAAATAATAAACACATTATTAATTGTTGAGATCGTTTTGAATATTTATCGACTAAATTGCCAGTGTTAAAGAGGCCCAGTAGATGGCGGTAATGCCACTGACATGTTTTAAAGCTTTAGACAAGCGTCTGAGTTTTGATTTATTGTTTTTATTTTATTTTCTAAGCCCCAGACATTTGTCGTTGAGCAGCGGCGGTAAAACAGATGCATCTTTTATCTGCTCATTAAACGCTAACACGCCGTGCGCTATAACACTGCTCACATGCTACATGTTACATTTTTTTCGGACCTGCATTTCTTACATCCTATAGGTACCGTAAATTGCTACTCACTCTGAAATGTATTCCTAATTTCCAGTAGATAACATTCTCACCATGTTTTAGTTGGACTATTACAATTGAACCACGGTACCTTTAAGAAAAAGGGATAGATACTTCCAGAATACCGTAATAATTAAACAAAAGCCCAAAATGTATCTATATAAATGCAATGCTACAGCAAACTACAGAAATTAACAACGGTTTCAAAAACATAAATAATAAATCAAAAATAAATTAACGAATTAATAAAATCATTAAGAAAACAACTCCCCCAAGTCACTGCCAGTGCACATGATATAGAATAAAAACACTGCTATGAATAAGTGTGTAGCGTAGTTAAGATTCACAAGACCAGTCTGGAATACTAGGACCTTGCACCTTCTGTAATTTCTTCCACCTGGGTAGAAATGCTCACTGAGCCAGAATATATACATATAGCCAAAATATTTCCCAAAATGCTTACAGAAAACACTTAAGTTGTAAAGGATTTAAGTGAGGTAAGGAGTGAGGATCTAATTAATGCACAATAGTTATAATTCCTTTGACAGTAAGGCCATCACCACTAAGTCAGGACAGTCCACAGACCACCATGCAAAGGAGAACAAATTAGCCAAAAATTTGGAAAAGCTCAAGCTTGGAGTAAGTAGGAGTTGTCACTCAGGTGCCCAACAACCAAAACCTGTTGTTCTCAGTTTTGAAAAGTAAGCTTGTAATGTCTGAGGCGTGGGCTGTCCCATTGATAGGGAATTTATTGTATTATCTGGACTATTGAGCGCACCTAAATATAAGCCACACAGCCCTTCACAGACAGACATAACTACTAGCATAACACACAGTAGCCTGCCAGAAAAGTCATTGATTGCTAGCGGTATGAACTTCGTTAGCCCATAAAAACCCATAAATTAGGCTCATCATTGTTTAAGCCGCAGGGTTGAAAGCGTGTGGAAAAAAGTAGCGGATAATAGTCGGATAATTACGGTATGTTATGATGTATTTTATAAGTATTGTTGGATATGAAACAGATAAAAAGCAGCAGGTCATCTGCATTAAGTGAAACCTTTCTTCCTTGCCTGAGGTTCGTACAAAATGAGCATGATCGGAGATACAGATAGCGTGATAAGTACACGAAAGAACAATTGGAATCAGTTGATGATCGATAAATAAATAACCAGTCCTCAAACACACGTGATGGACATGTGAACACAAAGATTATTATCTGTTGCATGGATGTTAAGTGAGCCAGATACCACAGACACAGCAATATGAGTAAAATGGGTGGACTTACCGATTATGCTGGAATTTCGTAGACTCCAGCAACCTCTGACAGCAACAGCTGGAATAAAAAGAAGAAGAAGAAGATTATTTCCCTTTTGAACTGAATTAGTCCACATTTGACCATTATATGGCCACAAAGCACATGCAGTGATGGCACTTGGTCAACAAACAAGACAATTTATAGTTACATGCCTGCTGAAAAACATTCAGAAACATCATACACATCATACTTTATCATTTAACTTATCCTGGTTGGCTTTGATTAAGATTAATAGGTTTATCAAGAGGTTTTTTTTAATGTTTAAATCACCATTATTCCACATCAAAAATGGACCAGACCTATGTGCACAAATTATTAGTACATCCCGTGGAGTCTCCCTACATGTCTGAATATACTGATTTGATACTGATGAAACAGTGTTTTTGTAATCCTATAAATACAGATACTCCAAGTGGCACTATGAGTACATGTATCAGACACAGAAAAGTTGTATCAGGCCATCGCAAATAAATACAATACAGAGATATGTAACAGTGAAAGGTGTTGAGATCAAACAAGGCTAGCATCCAGATTCCATAACGAGAGGCTAAAAAGTAACGGTAATGGCTGCAACTCATGCAAGGCGCAGAGTTAGAAGCTAGGAGCCAAGGTTGACAGTTGAAGGCTTGCACAAAGGGCAGATAGCTAAAGTTGAACAGCTAATGCCTCTTGTTAAAAGGATGGAATTTCAGACAGATAGGCTAGCACAGGCATGGCCAAACTAAGGCCTAGGGGCCCGGATGCGGCCCGTTCAGCTTTTTGATCCGGCTGGCCAAACTTGTCCAAATTATATAACTTATTAATATTATCATTATACTTCCGCCATTTCCCTGCAATACCCATGTTTCTCCAATAGATGGTGTAGAAAAATGATACAAGCGTTTTAGTATTTTAGCCTTTATGCATAACTTTTACATGTCATTTATCCTAGTTCACACAAACGCTCCATCTATCTGCTCCTGACACGGCCACCCCTGTTCAATTTTAGGACAATTGTGGCCCACAGGTCAAAAAGTTTGCCCAGGCCTGGGCTAGCAGAAGAGGTCGATGGTTAAGGACAGTCTGTAGACAAACAGCTGAGGCCAAGGCCAGACTGGTAGGTGACAGATAGGGACAGGAGCTGTGCGTCTGCTATTGATAGTATTTGGATGGAAGGAAGGCCAAAGACTAAAGCAACCCAGTGACAACTGACAAGATTATATCCATCACAGCTGCTATGCTAAAAACGTGTCAGTCTTGTGTGGTCTTTCTGGATCAATTGAAATAAATAATTTTAAATAAAAAAATAAAAAAAATCAAAGCTCAGGAACAGACACACTAAACACATAACTGACTTGGCTGCCATTTTGAAATGATACGTCTTAAGTCTACCACGTAGTCTAATAAGGCAGCCTTAACTTTGGCCTTAACTTAAAGGACACATAAAATCGAATTTAATTTAAATTACTAATTTTACTGCATTGACTTATGGTTATTTGTACTGTTATTCTTATTTTCCCTTCCCCCCTCTTTTGTGTGGCTCCGTCAGTCAGTTTTAATGGACTATCCAAGAGGAGCCCACTCCCTCTTAACTATTTCCCACTTCCC